ATCCTTCATTCACGATTACTTAATATGTGTTCGATTACATATACTCAAAAGTATTTTATCTAATATGGTTACTTCTATCGTAACCCACTCCTACGATTGTTTCCTGGGCCTCTTTGGCTATTTATGTCCCTCACGGACTAAGTTCTACCATTACGAATCATCCTTAACTCTTAGGGTCTTAACAAGGTCAAATCTAGCCATCCAAAGTGGGCAATATCGATACTCTACTTGCAGTATCGATACTCTACTTGCAGTATCAATACCCTTATGAGTATGGTACCAAAAAATAGCTTATCGATAATGTAGAGGTAGTATCAATACTTTTCCCAGCAGTATTGATACTCTAGTTGAAATCCCCAATTTTTGTCCTAATTCATCTAGTATTGATATTGTTTATCCAGTATTGATACTCGGACCCATAAATGTCTTATTTAAGCTTGGGAAATACCCAAGAATCATCCCAAATGTCTTAGTTTGGTTTCTAATCATTTGTTAATGTTTTAGGAAGTTATTAAGGGTCTTAAAGTGGCATAAAAACACATTTTTACATCAATATCGTCATCTAATCATGAAATCAAGCATAAACCCTAGAAATGCTTAAAAACCTAAATCTCAACAAAACTTTATGATTATGAAATCCTTAACACCACAAAGGATTATAAATATACTACCTTAATGTTAGAAACCCGAAATGAAGCTTCTTTCTCAACAAGCTTTACTTCTTCTAAAACTAGGTTGATTCTCTTCATTTCTAAAACTTGGTTGTTGCCTCCTTAGTTGGGTTTGTTATGATATTGTTATTCTCTTAAGAGTTATGTGTATATTTTTCCTCCAAATAGATTTAAGGAGGTTTTTTAACAAGGCACGCATAATTTTTTTTTTACGATTCTCTTCTTTAATCCTACCCTCTTTGCCAATATATATATATATATATATATATAACGAAAATTGTATAACATTTTAAATCATTTAAAAGATCTCAACCACGAATTTATTTATTTTTTAAATCCATCTATACAATTAAAAAACACTATGTTGTCTCTGAGTCATTTTATAGAATATAATTAATAAATATAGATTTATACAATATATACAAATAATGCAAATCAGGTGGCATGTTTTCTTTTACATAAATTACGATGGCATGTTAAGTAATAAACACGATGTTTTTCCCTCTAGTTTCAAGGTTTTACTCTGACTAATTTGAACCTAACACCTTGCTTAAACAATATCAAATTATTTACCACTTGAATCAACTTTATTAATATAAACACGATGTTTTTTCGTAATAAACACGATATTTACGTGTAATATTTTGATGTATTTAATAATTATATATATGTGTGTGTGTGGGCTGTCGTTTTCTCCTTATTAAAAGCTTGTCTTGGGATGTTTTCTCCATATTAAAAGCTTGTCTCAGCTACCCATCAGGAATTTTAGTAGGTGGGGATATGTTCTTTTTCATGCAATGCAGTTCCCATTCAACTCATACCCTAAACTTTAATTTATATGAAAAAACCCTTTTCATTTTTTTCTAAAAAAAATGAATTTGCAAAGTGGAAATGAAATCAAATATAACAAAGTAATAATTTCCAATATGTAGGTTTTGATGGATATAGACCGACGTAATATCTTATATTAATGAGTAAATTTTTAAAACTTTAAGAGATATTGAACTTATAAAACTATAGAGAAACAAAAATAATTTATTAACATAATATATATATATATATATATATTTTAAAATATACGGCAATTTAACATTTTTACGAGACAATTATATTATATATCCCTTCGATCCATCTCTATGGATAGACATCATTAAAAGAGCAATTATAAATAGAATAATTGGATGATAAATGTTGTTAATGATCATTGATCAAAAGAAAAGTAATAAATTTAATAAGTGTTTTTTGAAGTTAAATGAGATTATTGGTTAAATAATCTTAGATTTTCGATGTTTGGCTTAGTAGTCTAGGACAATCACGGAAGTTCTACAGTGCGGCACCCTAATATACAACTAAAAAATGTGTTACTAATTTTGTTATTATTTAAATAATAAAACCGGTAAAAATTATGAAAAATATTATTATTTTTATCTAAAATATTAATATTTTTTAATATTTTCGGTAAAGTATCCATCAATAACAAAACTGATAAAAAAATAACAAAATTAATAAAAATAATAATATTTCCGTTAATTTTTTTCTAATTTTATTATTTAAATAATAATAAAATTGATAACACTTTTTTTAACAATATATTAAAATTATCGCAAGCAATCATTTCCACAGTCACCACTCAATCGCATGTTTGTTTACTTGTAATTTGTGATGTGCAAGTGTGTGACAGTTATTTGCAACTGTTAAAGTTGTCAAGTAAGAATTGTATTATAAATTATTAATAATTAAATATTATTATTCAAAAAATAATAAAATTTTAAAAAATTAAAGAAACAATAATTATAATTATAAATTACATATTTATCTAACTATAATTAGATCTAACCGGTGCGATACATGAATTATTTATAATTAATATATTCTTATAACTAAAATTAAATCAATTATTATGAATAAATCGATAGATTAAATATAGATCAAATAACAATTGATAATATCCATATATAATAAAGGGTAAATTATACATTTAGTACATGAACTATCAATTTTTGTTCGTTTTAGTACTTAAACTTTTAATATTTTCAAAATCATTTATAACATTTAGTTTTTATTTCATTATAATATCTCACCGTTAAAAATTTAACACGTTTAGTAACTAAACTATCAGTTTTGATCCTTTTTAGTACCTAAACTTTCATCTTTAAAAAAACTTAATATTAAATTTTAAATGGATACTAAAATGAAACAAAAACTAAATTTTAAATATGGTTTTGAAAAATTGAAAGTTTAATAAGTAAAACAGACCAAAACTAATAGTTTAAGTACTAAATTTATAATTTACCCAATTTTTTTAAATAGTATGGAATAATTACACGATAATATATGTATAAATTTTTCTTATTTAATTAATAACGCAAACACAGTTACTGAGAAATCAAATCCAAAATTTTTGAAGTATGTCTACACTTTCCAAACTTGCATGGACCCTTCCAATGGTCTGTACGAACTCATCCAACCCTCGGAGGAAGTGGCTTCGAGAATACAAGAAGAACGTACTATTTCAGCTTATTACTCTTAATTTAACAAAAAAAAAGTTTAGGGAAATTTTAAATTAACTAATGCAGTTAAATTTTTAAATTTACCATTGTAACAAATTAACAATAATTTGTACTCCAATCCAATTCTTAAATAACCAATTATATGATTTAGTATCAACTAAAGAAAATAATTACAGTCCTAATCGACAATTATATTTTATAAATTATAAAAATTAATTTAACAACTAATTAGAATTGGAATTAGAATTAGAATCAAACGAAAACTAAAAACATAGTCTTCAACTTTTAAAATTTTATTAAATGATTTATATTTTTTTCTATTAAATAATTTAATATAATAACATAAATCATATATTTCTTTGCTAAAAAAATCCATATTGAATTTTTTGTCAAGTCACATTTATTTTAAACTAAATTTTATGAGAATTACTCCATACATTAACATGAACAATTTAATTTTAAACTAAATCATTTATTAAATGATTTATATTTTTTTCTATTAAATAATTTAATATAATAACATAAATCATATATTTCTTTGCTAAAATAAATCCATATTGAATTTTTTGTCAAGTCACATTTATTTTAAACTAAATTTTATGAGAATTACTCCATACATTAACATGAACAATTTAATTTTTAATAGTAAAAGTTTAATAATGCAATCATATAAAACTAAAAAAATATTCACATAAAAATTAATAAATGTTTTTCGTTAAAGAAATTACAGATTCAATTATAATTATTTTTTAATAGAATATTGATTTGGTATAGTGCAATTAGGGATGGCATGATCTCGATGGATTCGGACTCAATTTGAAGTTATTGAATCGGATTTTAAAAAAAAAATAGGTTGAATTTTTTAGAAGATATGCTTATATCATGTTTGAGTTTATAATAAAATATATTCGATCCATTTCAATTCAAAATAGAATGTAAATATATTTTATATTTAGAGATAATTTATAATAATATCTTTTTCTATATTATTTTTTAATTAGATTCATATTTTATTGATAAAAATAATATTTTTATAAATATATTATTTTAGGGTCTAATCAAGTCCAGATTTTATATAAAAAAATATGGGTCAAGTTTGGATCGAATGAAGTCACAGTAAACACATATCATATCAAATTTCAAGCGAAAGATGTATATTTTTGAGTCGGTCAAATAGACCCAACTCGACCTAACCTGACTCATATCTATCCCTAAATACAATACATAATTTAATTAATGGAAAATAAACATCAAGGGTCTTTATACTTAAAAAAATCAATGTGACCTTCTAACTCAAAAAATAAATTCAATGTGACCCTTTTACCAATATTTTTCGTCGTTAATTGTTATAGTACTAGCGTGTTAGTTCACGGTGCTGACATGAGGGTCTACAATACTAACATGACAGTTTATATATTATGTTTGAGTTATTAATTTAGTCTATATATCATATTATTTGTCACGTAAATTTACTATTTTAAACTATCACGTCAACATCATAAACCCGTTATATTAATATTATAAATTAATACCGTAATATTGTAACTGTTAATGACAAAAAATATTAATTAAACAATTACACTAAATTTATTTTTTTAAATTAGGGATCACGTTGATGTTTTTGTATAAGTATAGGATCTTGATTTTTTTTGCTTGATATAATAGGATAGGATAATATTAAAGGCAAGGCGATTGAAAAAGGGACGTATTGGAGTGGGAGCCACCACCCAAGTGCCCTTCCCTCCTGTCTCCACCAGCTACTGCCGCTCAATGATTAGCACTCTGCTCCCTCTCCTAAATCCATCTCCTCTCTGTAAATACTACATCATTTTTCAAAAAGATTTTTTGCTTCCCTTTTAACATCAAACACCTTCAAGCACTGCATACAATCTTCTCAAATAAAGGGAGAAAAAATCTAAGTTAGACTCAAGTAGAAAAACTATATACTTGTCTCATGTCAAATTCAGACTCTGCTGCTACCAACGGAGCAATAATGGATGCCCAGAGACAACCAGCGCCGACCAACGGTTCCCTTCCCGTCAAGAAACCTCCTTCCAAGGACCGTCACAGAAAAGTTGACGGTCGTGGCCGAAGAATCAGGATGCCCATCATCTGCGCCGCTCGTGTTTTTCAATTGACTCGCGAGTTGGGTCACAAATCCGACGGTCAGACCATTGAATGGCTGTTACGCCAAGCTGAACCTTCCATAATAGCCGCTACGGGTACGGGGACGACTCCGGCCAGCTTCTCCACCGTGTCGGTTTCCGTCCGCGGAGGGGCTAATTCTACTTCTTTGTCGTCGACTACTTCTCCGTCTTCATTGGATCATAAACCTTTGTTGGGTCCCACCCCTTTTTTACTCGGGAAACGTGTCAGGTCCGACGACGATAACGCCGGGAAGGACAATTCCGGAGGGGCCACGGTGAGACCGGGCCTTGGGTCTATCGTGGGGCCCGCGGGGACACACACGGGTGCGTTCTGGGCTGTTCCAGCCAGACCTGACTTTGGTCAAATATGGAGCTTCGCGCCCCCGCATCCTACTGAGATGATGGTTCAGGCGGCAGCTCAGCAACCAGCTGCAGCTGCGTTTTTCGTTCAGCAACAGCAAGCGATGGGTGAAGCGTCGGCGGCTAGGGTTGGAAATTACCTTCCCGGCCATCTGAATTTGTTAGCCTCACTGTCGGGTGCTCCGGGACGTTCTGGTCAAAGAGACGATGATCCTCGTTGAATTTCGGCGGGCCGTTTTACCTTTGTTCTTGGAGTATATATATTTAAACGATTACATAGATTCTATAATTATTTGTGTACCTTGTTGTTTTCATGTGTGTGGATGTGGAAGATCATTTTTAGCTGGAATTTTAGGGGTTAGTGAATAGGATTTTGAGTTGACAATTTGGGAGTTTGAAGAATGGCTGATGAATGGTTCAAAGTAGGCCTTTTTCTTATCACTTCTATTTGATGATTAATTAGGGTTTTTGGGCGTTCACAATTGTTTAGAATTTTGAGAGTTTATGTTGGAGAAGGACTCGAGAGCTATAGTTCTCATGAGTGAAGTTTGGGGATTTCCAGAATTTGGGATTTCTTTCGTTATTAATCAGGTTTGCTTATTCCTCTTTGCTTTTAGGCAAGTACTTGCTGATTTCTTTCAACATTGAAGAATTAACGAAGTTTTATTTCCCATGCTAAAAGAGGCTTCAAGCCTGGATTTTGGAGAATTCATTCTTTTCCACATTGGCAAATCCTTCCCTAATTCTTGATATGTGAATGATGATCGATTAAAGCGACGAATCTTAGCTGTGGATTGTACCTGATTTAGAGAATATTGGGATTTTCTTCTTAACCGAAATTGGGTGACTGGCTGCTGAAAACCCAGGATTTGCTAGGATGATACTATGATTGGCGTGATGTTGTGGATATATGGTCTCCCTAAATTTGCTGAAGTTCCCTTTTTTTGCTTAAGGTGTTCGAGAATTATCAGTTCTTTGCTGCTACCTGGCGTTGCCTAGCATTGAAAATTATGGTTCTTAAGTTCGTAGTTCATAATATGCGACGGACGTGGTTTGATCGGGCTCTCTCACATCCGCTTTCAATGTTTGTGTTTGATAGCATGATCTCAAAGGAGACTGTCGTGTGAAAGAGTTGGTTCCTTTCTGTAAGAACTCTATTTTGGAAAAAACTTTAGATGTATTCTTAGCCATTTCTTAGATTTATCTGCGTGCAAATAATGTGTCCTTCGTGTATTGTTTTGGGTGCCTGTGGTGTGAATAAAACCCATTATGTTTTTCTCAACTTTAGTTTCTTCTGCACATTATCATTATTATTATTATCTACTTCTCTATGCAAGAGTGATTTTGGTTTTGGTACTGATTATTTGTGCAATTCGATGTCTGGTTCGTGGCTCGCTAACTCTTGTTTCTTCTTCTTTCAGTATCTCTAATCACAATAACTGGTCGACTGATCGTATATGCCGATCTGATGGTTTGGTTTAGAGGTATACTGAATTGTCATTTGTGGGTTTTGTGAACATTAGAAACTAGCATTATTTTTCTTTGATTCTGATGATATAAAGTTTAGAACTTCAAAACTAGCTATGATTCTTGGTTTAGTCCTTGCAAATTAGTTGCTGATATGTGAGCATAATCATATTTCTCCAACCAATGAAAACATGCATTTGCATATGCATGAATGACACTTCCATGGTGATGGGAAAATTGTACAGTTTCGATTTTCGATGAGTGATACTTAGGTAGGGAAGTGAACTATTGTGGCTCTTTGAATTTTGTACTTGCATGTCAATTAACAGTAATACTACTAGGAATGAGCATGAACTGCTGCAACTAGCAAAGCATATTCATGCAGTGACTCGACCGAGTCATCGAATGATTTGAAATCGATTGCTTGTGAAAAAGAGCCTAGGAAGATGGTGACCGCAGTGCTGCCTTTCGAAAGAAGTTTGGGGTTTCTTTCAAGGAAAAGAAAATGGGGACATGAAGATTGATAGTGTACATCGTTTGAAGGGGCAGAAAAAAAAAATCAGTGGAGGCAGCAATGAACAAAGCAAAATATTAGTGAAGAGATAATGAGTACAAAAATCATTAATAATTGTACCTTTGTTTGTATTAAATAATTGCAGGCAGGTCCCAACAATTGATTGGAGGGTCCCTCTCCATTGGGGATTAAATGGCTTGTTGAAATTGGGGATTGTGTTGTGATGTCATTGGACCATCTAAATTCCCTATCCCAATCCCCAAAATCTTAATAGCCATTTGGATTTTAAACAGTGGAAAATTTGGTTGGGACCACCATATCCTTTCATTCATGGGGTTGGGACAGATCCTTTTGCCATTGAAGTACAGCACATGCAATTGGAACAGCAAATGCTTTTGCAAATCATTTCCAGATTTTGGTGATTGTTCCAAATTTTCATATGGCGTTTTCGGCTCCTTTTATGGGCAAAAGTAATCAAATAATGATGTGAGAATTTTTAATTTCTAAAGTAATGTAGTCATTCGATTAATTTTTGATATAGGGTGTTTTATAGAATTTTGAGATCTTTTGGTTATTTTACACAAATATCACCTTAACAAAAATTAATTACTTGTTAGGCACTGTTTAAGAATATTTTACGGATTTAGCATATTTTTAAATACTTTCTATAAAATTATTCATGCATTAAATTACATAATACAATTATATCGGCAAAATTTTTGAAATAATGATGTGAAATTTTTTTTTCTTGAGATAAAACTGTTGAAAAATTAATTGTTGAGTTAAGGCGTTTGCTACAGCTATATCCTTGGTCGCCAGGTGGTCCGAACGACCTCTGGAGGTCGCCAGGTTGCCCAAGCGACCAAGAAATGTCGCCAAGCAATCCATGCTTTCATGCGTGGTTTGCAAAAATGAAAGCTATGAATCTGGGTTCTATATTTTAGTTTTTTAGGTTAAACTATAACAAAGACCACCCAACTATAGTCTTTTTCCATTTCGACAACTATTTTTGAATTCTTGTCAATCAGATCACCTAACTTTTTTTTAATTAATCACTGGTATCCGATCTATTGATCGACTAATCCAGATCGACAATTAATGGAAGTGATGACAAGACAGTTAATAATGAAAGTATAATAATGATTTGATATTAATGATTTAATAATGATTACTAAAAGTTATTTAATAAATATTAAATATTTAAATAGAATTTATTCAATTTAAATCAAATTTATAAATAGTTGAATTTATAACTAGTATGCGCTCCCTCATGCATGTTGCAATAATTTAATGTGATTTGCAGTAGCCCCTCCCCTCATTCATGCAACAATAATTGTTGCAATAATTTAACGTGATTTGCAGCAGCCCATGTTGTGTTTATTGGATTAAAAAAATTAAACTCATGTATTTTAACTAATAATAACATGTTGTGTTTGTTGCTAGTTGATTTCAAAGAGGCGTGAACCACATGCAAATAGGAGCATGGCCCACTTTATTAACTAGAGAATTAATCATTTTATCTAATATTTTAATCGATTATATCGAATCGAATTTTGGGTAATTGTATAGACATTTGGGTAATTGTATTGATTAAATATAAATAACATAAAACTATTGATTTTGTGAACCTTAAATCCTAAACCCTAAAATATTTTAGTTGTTATTAAAAAATCCTAAATCCTAAACCCTAAATCCTAAACTCTTAATACAAGATAAGTAACCCTAAACCCTAAAATATTTTGGTTATTACTGAAAACCTTTATAAATTCATGGTATGTTGAGGACAATGAAAGGGGTAGAGGATGGTGATATCTACCATGATGGTGGTTACAGATTTGTTTTCTGTAAGAAGAAATTGATTGGAGGGAGAATGGTTAGGGTTTAGTGTTTAGGGTTTAGAGTTTAATATTTAGGGATTAAGCTTTATAGTTTAGGGTTTAGGGTTTAGGGTTTGCAAAATCAATAGTTTTATGTTATTTATATTTAATCGATACTTAACTAAATTTTTTATATATATAAATTCAACAAACATATAACTTAAACTATTTAACTAACAAACTAATTAAATTAAATTAATAAAATCCCTCCAATAATAAATGATTAAAGGAAAATTAATAAACCCTCAATATATCGTGACATTGTCCTCATATAATTGGAGGATTAAATATTTGAATTAATTAAAATTATGATTAATTTGATAGATTATGTAATAAGGACTAATTAAATTATACAAATTTATTAACTGTCATGTCATCACTCCATTAATTGTCGATCTGGATTAGTCGATCAATAGATCGGATACCAGTGATTAATTAAAAAAAAGTTAGGTGATATGATTGACAAGAATTCAAAAATAATTTCCGAAATGAAAAAAGACTATAGTTTGGTGGTCTTTGTTATAGTTTAACCTAAAAAAACTAAAATATAGAACCCAGATTCATAGCTTTCATTTTTGCAAACCACGCATGAATGGATTGCTTGGCGACCTTTCTTGGTCGCTTGGACAACCTGGCGACCTGCAGAGGTCGTTCGGACCACCTGGCGACCAAGGATACAGCTGTAGCAAACGCCCTATCTCAACAATTAATTTTTCAACAGCTTTATCTCAAGAAAAAAAAATTCACATCATTATTTTAAAAATTTTGCCCAATTATATCTATCAATTACCACTTGACACTTTCTGATGCGTTTTTGACCCTTTCAAAATCCTATATTATAGTATATTCTAGGAAACTTTGAGGGTAAGTAATTTAAAATATAAATAATTTTATAAAATATTACATATATCATCATTTTGAAAATAATTTTGCAGAAAGACGCGGTACATGTACCGCATAGGATTTTGAAAAATATTTATAAAAGTTTTATAATTAATATTTATTTTTCAAAATCCATGAGGTGAGTGTCGCGCCTTTCTGCAAAATTATTTTTCAAAATCCTAGAATATACTATACGATAGGATTTGAAAGGGTCAAAAACGCATCAGAAAATGTCAAGTAGTAATTGGTAGACATAATTGTATTGTGTAATTTAATGCAAGAATAATTTTATAGAAAGTATTTAAAATATGCTAGATTTGTAAAATATTCTTAAATAGAGCCTAACAAGTAATTAATTTATGTTAAGGTGATATTTGTGTAAAAATGCCAACTTTTTTTTTAAATGCTAAAGACGCCGAGATTTCTACAATTGAATTCACCCAAAGACGCCGAGAAATCTGGTCCACCCCTAAAGACGCCGAGAGATCTCAAAACCCTGTAGAAAACACCCTATATCAAAAATTAATCGGGTGACTACATTAATTTGGGAATTAAAAATTCTCACATCATTATTTTGGCACTTTTGCCCCTTTTATAGGAGCATTTTACCAATGTTTTCAAAATCGGACTGGACATTGAACCGATGAAGGTACTGGTTCACTGGTTCAACCGGGTTCAACCGCGGTTGAACCGAATTTTATATAAAATAATATATTTTTTTAATTTTACATAATATTCAAAGCAATATTAATATATATGAAACACGTTTTTTAAGCTTACAATATTAGAAGGTATAAAAATATCACAAGTCATAACATGTATAAATGAAAAACCATAAAATCAAGTGAAACAAAATGATTCAAATCAACTACAACATAATATTTAAGGTAAAACATATTAAATAATAAATATAATTATATAACTATAATCAAAAAAAATAAAATTGGGGCTTAAAAAAATTATAACAAATGATGTGATTTGGTTTAATTGTTTTAAAAAAAACAATCTCACATGGCTAAGAAACATAGAAGAGTATCCCAAAAGTTTAAAGAGTAAAAATATGAGAACAAAACAATCCCACATGGCTAAGAAACATAGAAGAGCATCCCAACTTACTTCTATAAATAATAGAGGTAATTTGACATTCAAAATCATGAAGCCTTTTGGTGAGCACAAAGCGAACTATTCTTTCGCTTCAATTGAGCTCAAATTTAGGCTTCAATTGAGCTCAAATTTTAGGCTTCAATTGAGCTCAAATTTTAGGCTTCAATCAAACTTCTAAATTTTTTTTTGAGTTCGAGCCTTTTCGATTTCAAGTTTTAATATTATATTTCGAGTTGATAATTTTTAGCTCGTGAGTTTTTGAGTCGAGTTGAGCTTACTTTTAAAGTTTTCGAGTTCGAGTCGAGCTCAGCAATACTCGAATTTGACTCGGATCGTTGAACAAACGACGTCATTTGGTTTAATTTTTTTTAAAGAAAAAAAGTGAACCAGCGGTTCAAATTGGTTTTTCCGGTTTTCAGCCGGTTCACCTCGGTTTCC